GAGTAACCTAACCTAGTAGCTTCCGCAAAACGCGAATTTACACCTACGTTCCACTTTTTTTTCCCAACAAAATCGAATCGAGTCCACGTGGACCCGAAGCAGGAACGATTAAAATAACTCTTCCGGGCAGAAAACGGCAAAATGGGTAACCTAATCTACTCACATTCTCAATAAATGAGCTTACACCTACGCTCCATTTGTTTTTTCCCAGCAAAATCGAATCGAGTCCACGTGGACCCGAAAAAAGAACGGTTAAAAAGAAAAACTCTTCCGCGGAGGCAAAAGGGGTAACGGGTCACGGATGCCCCCCGTCCGCGAGGACCGGGTGAGATCGTCCGCGGCTTGCCGACTTCCCAGCCAATTATCCGAGCCGGGGCTCATAAGAATGCGTTCCTGCCGCACGGCGCAGCATCTCGGCCTCACTTTCAGCGTGCCTCTTTTTACCTCGCCCCGACCCCCGTCGCTCGACCTGGGCCCCCCTTTTCCTCTCCGCCTGCCGCCGAAGCGCGCCCCTCGACCGCTGTCTCTACGCGGTACTTCCGGCCGCGCGCGCCGCCCGACGCGAAATTCTCGCTAAATAAACCGAGGCAGCGCACCGAGCCTTCACTCGAGTATTTTTAACTATCTCCTGGTTATGCACCGAGCCGCGACTAAACTTCCGCCCGGTACCAGGAAGAAGAGGCTGGTCGCGCGGCTATTGTTCCTCGTCGATCGGCCGACCTTCCCGATCGATCCGCAAATTCCGGACGGCTCTCTGCATGGGTGGGTCGAATGTGTGCCCTGGAAAGTGAACTAGTTAGTTACCACCGAAAGAAAAATTGGAACGGATTTTGTTAATTAGTTCATGAGCGGATGTGAACGTGTAGACTCGTTTACGACACTTTCCTTCGGGTAGGATGTACCGAATTGTTAGACGTTTTATCTCGGGAAGGTGGACGTCCTGAGGAAGGTCCCGACATCCATGAAATTTCATCTTTTAAATTTGTTTATAGAAAATGTAAAAATTTGTTTTAAGCGAAGAAGAATTTTAACGACCGAGGTTAGTCGTTTACTGAAATTAAGAGAGTTCTAGGTTCGATCGCATAACGTGGAACTATTGCAAAGACGACGCGCTTCCTCGACATCCGCGGAGCCTCGGCGGGTGTCGTTGCGGATCCGACATATCCTCGACATTCGCGCGACCGTGGATTCGAGAGGATCAGAGATTTCGAAGCAAAGACGTCCAGTCGGGGCAGTAAATCAAGACCTATTTTCGCCCGCGTCCTCGCTCCGCGGTCGCGTTTCCTCCGCGATAATAGGAAGGAGCGAGAAGTCGTTGCGGCACTCCCGCGCCGTTATCGCGGCCAACTGCGCAGGATACCCAGCTCCCCTGATCGATAAGGGGAATTCCGATTGTCCTCCACGTCGCTCCTATCGCTAACCGCTGCGTTTTCTTGTCTTGTTAGCGGGATATTTTTAACCATCTGCCATTGCGCGCCGAGCCGAAGCCAAACTTCCTGCTCGGTATGACGCACCGCGTACCGTCTCTGTTAGCCGATCGGCCGCGTTTTTCCGATCGATCGAGAGATCCCGCGACCGCCTCGGGAGGATGCACCTCGGGGTCCCGTCGTTTCGTGCGCGCGGCGCGCATATTAAAACCGGCGGTGAGCGTAATTCGAGTCGCGGTACCGGTTAACGCCGCGGCGGTGTCGGCGGCGGCGGCGACGGCGACGGCGGAGCCGGAGACGACGGCCTCGCGCGTCGCAGGCGATTGCGCGGCGTAGCGGCGGAGGCCGCACCGCTAGCGCGCGAGCTAGCGGGACAGGGACGAGAGAAGGAGCGTCCGCGACCAGCTACGCGCGGAGGCGCGCGAGAGAGAGGGCAGACAACTCGGCTAAAGGTATAGGTCAGTGAAGTCGGCCCCCACTCCGCGGCGCCTAGACAACGGGCCTACGATTGACTCATCTAGCCTAGTCGCACGTAGCCGAGCGTAAATGGCGAGTATCCCGATACCGTGCGAGCCCCCTCTCCAAGGCTCATCACTACCTTGCTCTCGTGGAGCTCTTCACCCGCGGTCTCTGAAAATAGCCGGGCTCGCACCTATTGAGAGGGTTTCCTCGGCCAGCGGAGACCGCTCCGGAAAACGTCTACTCGTTTACGCCCTGCCCGATTGTAGCTACTCGAGGGCCCGAAGTACAAGGGACTGGAGGGCCAGGGAGAGGTCGAAGAAAGCATTCGCTCGGAAGTCGGTGATGCTCCTCGCGGAGCGCGGAACCGGCGGAACCGCGGATGCCGCGCCGCTCCGTGGCGGCCGTTCCGATTTTAGACCGGCGGCGCTCTTCCTCGCTCTCGAGGAGCGAGCGAGCCCGAGCTACCGCGAGGCCGCTGGCCAGAGAGAGAGGCGCTATTATGCACTAGTAGCTGATGGCGTCACCGTGCAACCTTGGCTCGGGTCAGTCCTCTATCATACCGCAGCCGGAGCCCCGCGTCACCCCTCCCTGTCGTCCCCGTTCCTCTGCAGCGCGCGAAGCCCCTCGCGGGCCCCACCGTCCCGTCGTCCTCCTCCTCGCCGCTCTCCCCGCCGCTGACCACACAGGCCCGCGTACTACGGGCTCTTTCTCTACATAAACATAGACGCGTATCCTCGCCTCGTGCGACGACGTCTTCTTCGCACCCAGCGGCCGCTGCTAGGGGCCGAACTTGTGTGCGCCGCGATGCAACTCTACTCCCCTCCCGTAGGGCCGTAAACGTTTCCGTCGTCCGTGGATGGCAGATTTGTCCGTCCACGCCGAAGGTCCCTCCGACCCGTTCGGATGCAGAGGGGGCGGGCTTCTGGGATCCTCTTCGAGAAATCTGAAAAATGCCACCGCGGCGTTAGACCGGTCGACTAATAATACTCCATCGTAATCTGGTGTAACCGCGCCGGGCATGTTTCCGCCGATCGACTTCGTACTCACCTATGCAGTCCACTCCTCGCTCACCTGATCTACCCTTGCGTCTTCTCAGGAAAAAGATCTTCGAAGAAATTTTCAAAAAACTACGGTGTAGGCGCTCGATCGATGCGACGCCGTGAACTTAGGTTACCTTGCTCCTTATCGGCGTTTCTCGCTCGATACTTGTAATCTCTCTGGAAAGATATTTTTAAACTGAAAAATAAAGTATTGCAGAAGTACGTGGATCTTAGAGAATCGATGGATGGGATGTTTACGCTGTTTTTCGGGCGGATTTTTATCCGCTGTTCGTTCCTGTCGTATTTGAAAACGTTGGTCGTTATGGAATGCGGAGTGAGGTGGGGTGGGGTCATTTTGCGATATCTCCCCAAAAGATCGGTCCTGGGAGAAGTGTCGAGTATCTCGAGACACATGATCGGTGGCTAATAATACTTTATCGCATCGTGCAGGCCTACCCACGTAGGATACATACCGACGCGTTTGGCTGCGAGGTTGGAACGTCGATCCCCCGCGGGGGCGTGCAGTTCGCTGTTTCCGCAATCCGTGTGTACGCAGGTGCGGGTCGGGCACGTATACACCGCCACGATCTCAATTTGCCGCGCCATTTTGCAAAAAGAAACGGATTAAGGAAACGGAGGAACTTTTTTTGGAGAGGCATTTAAATGGGGGACGAATATACCGAGTCGAATCAATTTTGATTGACTCTTGATAGTCTATCGACGGGGAATGTCGTGTCAGAGCGTGTGTTAAGAAGGGAAGTCGGTAACGCCGCGAAGTGACCGGCCGTGGATGCGCGCGGTCTTGTCGGTGGCGCCATCTAACCGGAACGAGCGGAACTTGACCCTTGTTCCTTCTTGCCTGGATAAAATTTAAAAATATATGATACATTTGCTATTAATATTTCTATCGCATGGATACTCTTCAAAGTAAAAGTTTTAATACTTAATCGCAATAAATTTAAAATAATCCTTGTCTGTAGAATTTTTATTTACAACTTTGAGTGGTAATTTGGGAGTACTGATTTTCCATGTCGCTTACAGGGACCAATGTGACGCCTTTTTTTTTCTTTGCAAGCGAAGATATTACAAGATATCGTTAATGAGGTATTTCTGGAGACTCGAGCATCTCTTTAAGTCCACCTCGCTCTTTTTCAAAACTCTGGCACCAGTGTTGAAACCGGCTAGGACGCGGCAATTGTAAATCCTGTTTCGAATTTCCAACTCATCGGAGTGCAGAAAAAAGGCATCACGGTTTTCGATTATTTCAACACTCGGCCTGAAACGGGTTGGCGTCGTTGTACTTTTTTAACGGTATAGGCTTAAGGCGAGGATGCAAATCGCGTTATCTTCGCCGTAAGCAACGATTAAAAGTGGCTCACGTCAGTTTCTTCACCTCCGCGGCAGCCTTGAGGCGGTGACGTACGCTTGCCGTAAATGGTATTTCTCGCGTAGGAACGCTCATATAATCGGGCGGATAAACCTTTAATGGAGGGTGAAGAAATCGAGCGGGAGTCGTAAGAACGTGTCCTCGCACATACAACTATACTACTAAAGCATGACTCGTGACGGGTCATCTCTTATTATCTAAAGTATTATTCGTCAACTTTCAAACCACATTGAAAACGTACGAATTTTCATTTATCCCAGATTGTTTGAAATTCTGCAATTAAAAATCATCGTCTACTGACGTGTCTGCTAATCTTTATCGTAATAAAAACATTACATTCTGGGTAATATAAATTATCGTTGTGCGTTACATACCTTAATTGCAAAATTAAACGCGTCTCAAGTTACTTACATTGATAAGAAAAGTGTTCGTCACGTAGTATCGAAATTCTTACGTTTTCCGCAAGTGGCGCACGCATCGCTGGATCAGCGAAAATTCGAGATACCTGGGTGCCTATTCTGTAGCCACTTTCTGTGGGACCGACCTCAGGCGTTGTCTCATACTACCTCGTGCCGTTGACTTTATAAAGACCAATGAGTACATATCGAACTTATCGGCCGAAATCTAAAACCTGAAACAGAAAATCGTCATTGTTTCTCATGAACCTCCCATTTTTGGTTACAGTGTCGGAGAGCTACAGCAGCTACGTGAACTCGATGTACGGAGGCGGAGGGCAGTTTGCGGCACCCTGCACCCCCAGTCCCCCGCGAGGGCCCGGAGGGGTGCCGACGAGCGTGATCCAGGCAGCGACCAGCTCGGTCTCGGACGACCTGTACCTTTTGGAGCTCGGGTTCCCGCCGCGGCCCAAGAAAAGCAAGTTGAAGAAGCCGCGGCAGGGTGAGGGCGCCGCCGTCAAGCGGAAATCCCGGGAAGGCTCGACGACCTATCTCTGGGAGTTCCTGCTGAAGCTGCTGCAGGACCGCGAGTACTGCCCGCGCTACATCAAGTGGACGAACCGCGAGCGGGGCGTTTTCAAGCTCGTCGACAGCAAGGCGGTCTCGAGGCTCTGGGGTCTGCACAAGAACAAGCCGGACATGAATTACGAGACCATGGGCCGCGCGCTGCGGTACTACTACCAGCGTGGCATCCTGGCCAAGGTCGACGGACAGCGGCTGGTCTACCAGTTCGTCGACGTGCCCAAGGACATCGTGGAGATCGACTGCACGGGCGCATGAGGCAGGGTTCGCCTCTCGAGGGAGCTCGGATCGCACAGAAAGGGCCAGGGCTGCTCGACGGCGACGTTGACGACGACAACGACGACGACGACCGCGACGACGACGACGTAACGCCCTCTCTCGACGTCCGCTGTTCCTTGTATTATAATTCTAGCCCTGTAGTTAAGCGGAGCGTCCGTTCGCGCGATCGCAGCGCGCTAGGTCCCTCGCTCGCGTCGCCGGACCGGCTCGTTTTCCTCTGTCTCTTTCCGTTTGTTTTTTAAATTTGTACAAAATTTAGTTCGTAGATGAATGGGAAAAGGCGCGGCGCGTATACCGGTATATATTTTACTAAACGCTGTGGACAAATTACTTAATTTCTAGGGTGGTAAGCGAAATTTGTACATTCGAGGCGCGATAAATTATTTATTGTACATTAGACGCGGTTGCATACCTAACTAGGAAATTGTTAACGGGGAAAAGAGTGGGAAGAGATGAAATCTATGCGAAGACAAACGCGGAAAGTTGGAGAAATCGAAACGAAATATTCGAGGGCTGTGAAGAGGTTTAAACAAGACGCGTTTTATGGGTCCTGTCGGGCGAGCTCAGGGAGGGATAACGCTATATTTTTTTAAGTATACCGGAGCGACGACTGTTCTGCTTGAGCTGAGGGTTCAACGATGTAAAGGTGCTGGCTATTACACACGAGGTCCAAGAATGTTATTTAGCAACCTAGTGTTAAACGATTCGTCGAAGCGATTCGGACAGATATTATATCTCTGTAAATATAAAGTATACCTTTAGATTATATTATATATATTATTGAATATTATATATATTATATGAATATATATTGTACGTTATGTAGTAAATGGCGCGAGTTTATCTGTTCGTACGAGAGTTTCGAATCGTGTCCGAGGAAGAAGCTTCGCTCGCCCGTACGATGTCTCGGCTCTCGATGTTAAGGAAAATCGAACGTTCGTTTAACTCACCGATCACCGACGTTGGAATCGCACGATCGGTTCAGTCGCTGCTCCCCTTCGATCGTTTCAGAAATTCTCATCGAATCCCATTGCTCGAATGCGCACACGACCTTTTTTTCCTCCTGATCAGAGGTGTCGTACCATTAACGCGAGAGCCTTCCTCCAGTCTGGGGTGTGTAATAAACGATGTTAGTTTAGCAAAAATTTTAACTTATTGACGCCCCAGAATGCAAAGTGCGGGCGCGTGGATGTCGCCTAGACTTAAGATTTGTATATAGAGATTCGCTTAAAGAAAACATAAATATGTCGAACGTCTACTGGTAATTTTTACATGTAAGAAAGGAAGAAAGCGGTAAGGCGAGGAAGCGCAAGAAGGTGGGAAAGCGGGAGAGTATGGTTAGCGTAAGACTCAGCAGTGCTCTCTGAACACGGCTTCTCGATGATAGCCTTGGAATTTTTGAAGAAACGTAATACAGTAAAGTACAGTAATCCAGTGCTGCCAATAATGCCTGTAACGGTCCCTTGCATTTGCCACGTAAAAGAAATTTAAGTGAAGATTATGGACACATAAATGTCTTGGGACTCCAGACATACCGATGATACAAAACGAATTGCCTTTACATATTAACAAAGACGTGTTGCCTTTTAATAAAAAAAAAAGAAAAAAAAAATGAAAGAAAGAAGAACGAGAGATACAAAGTTTTAGTGATTCGTATCGTATTGCCGTCACGATATCCCTGGTACTTAAAGATCAACCTCATTTTGCAAGGTCACTTTTTTAACGACGTCTTTTGGTACTTGATCGATGTCAAAAACGAATCTTAGGTATGCGTATCTATGAGGAATATAAACTATCACAGTACAATGGACAAAAGTGAGTACCTAAAGACATGTACCATACTCCTGTACAAGATAACACACACTTATGAACGATAAACGGACACTTCAACGACAAATCCTATTTTTAGGTACATTAAATTTACATATACATAACAATTGACTACGCTACAAGATATTTTAGCAGATAAGACTTCACTGTAATTGGGATAACATACATGTAATTATTTACCTGTAAAATATGAGATACGATGGATTGACGTAAGGAACTCTAATGTAACGTTCTGTGATTCGTTGTTTGTAGGTGAAATTTAATAAAAGAATACTGTATTATAACGTATATTATTCTTTCACGTTTCAAACTTTCCCGGGCATGCCTTTGTAAACCTCTTTCCCTCCGTCTTAATCCATTCCCAAAATCATTATAATTTTAATCATAATTATTAAAAGGGAATATAAATTTTATTTATTCGAATGATATCCCACATCTGAAACAATCCCTTTATTAAAAACGGTGTTTTCGAGACAGTCAATTAAAAGTATGATCCACATCACTGGGTTTATCACATTTCCATATTTTGATAACTAAACCCAAGATCAAGTCACCCTAACGAAATGACCTAGAAGATAATTTAAGTATTTTTACGTGAATTTTGGCACTTGCCGTTCCTGATAAGACGTTTCTGTTGAACTAATTAATTAGATAAATACTATATAAACAGATAAATTACGGCCATATTGGAGGAACCCACCCTGAACCTGCCGAATAAATACAGATAAGGTATCTTTAGAGATTAGTGGAAACTCGTAAAACTAATCTTAGTACACCTATATTAAACTTAGAAATTACAGTCCCTAGAAAGCAACATATGAACTTTAATTCGTCTTGATAATTTTTTGACATCATTAATTAAACATCTTGCTACACCTATTAAAGGGCAATCCGGCATCCGAGTGACCGACTTGCTCAGTGCCGTCTATTGCGCATGCGCCGACCGGGCGTATTTACAAAATAAATGAATAATCGCGTACAATTAGTGGTTTGGATTTTCATTTGGATTTTCCATGGAATATAATGAAATTTAATGGTTAAATTGTTAATTAAACATCGTGTTGCTGCACCTATTGAATGGCAATCCGGCATACTTTGCTGCTCGCGAGTGACCGACTCTAGCACAGCGCCGTCCACTGCGCATGCGTCGACCGGACGTATTTACCGATGAACACATGCGCACAGTTAGTACTTTACTCGAGTCCTCCATGGAATGTTGTGGAATTTAATGGATGAGTCAGACGCCTGCGACAGTGCGGCACAGTGCGGCAGGATAAGGTAGAGGTCGCTGGGAAGAAGCACAATTTAGGTCAGCTAGTGTTCTACTATTATTTTAGTGGATTTTGTAGAAATTTGCTAAGACAACTAAAGCATGCTACTGTAGAAAATAATACTGTACATTTACGTCAATCGTAACGGTTTTCCAGACAGAGTTGAGATTATACTTTGCCACACCCTGCAGCCATCTTGGTCCTCGCAAGACAACACTTGATCTCGTTAAGCGGTGAAGAAAGCCTTTGCGATGGATCAAATCACGCCAAAGGAGGTTAAAATCCTGGAAAATCCAGAGGATATAAAAGAGCGGAGAGAACAAGTGCTTGGTCGGTATGCGAACTTCAAATCTGAGGCCCGAAATAAGCGTGACAAGCTCGAGGACTCCCGACGCTTTCAGGTACCCAATGTTTCTAATTTTCTGACCTCGGTAATTAGATGTCTATTGTTAATCACACAGTGTTACGATTGAGAGCATTGAAGGGTATATTTTGGATTAATGTCAATGACGTTTATGCAATTCCAATCATGTAATGTATTTATGGATCCGTTGGTTCTTCAATTGCTACGCTTGGTCAAACCATTTTAACGATTTAGTCTTAATGGGTATCCGGTGGATTTCCTTTGATTTTCTTAAAATCAAAAGATAAATTGAGTGACATTATTATTTTCAGTACTTTAAGCGTGATGCGGATGAACTTGAGGGATGGATTTATGAGAAGCTTCAAGCTGCTTCGGATGAAAGTTTTAAGGATCCTACCAATTTACAAGCAAAGATACAAAAACACCAAGCATTCGAAGCCGAGGTAGCAGCACATTCCAATGCCATTGTGTTATTAGATAACACTGGTTCTGAAATGATCGCACAGCACCACTTTGCAAGTGACGTTATTCGTAAAAGACTTGGTAAGATCCCAGTAAATAGTTAAAAAATATTCTAATGCGATCTAACGTTTAGAACTCTTTACATATACTTTTTTATTTACAGAGGAACTACATCGTCTATGGAAATTACTCCTTTCAAGATTAGCTGATAAGGGATTGAAACTGCAACAAGCATTGGTTCTCGTTCAGTTCATTCGTCACTGCGATGAAGTCATGTTTTGGATCCACGACAAAGAAGCGTTTGTGACCACTGATGAATTTGGTCATGACCTCGAACATGTAGAAGTGCTGCAAAGAAAGTTCGATGAGTTTCAGAAGGACATGGCCAGTCAAGAGTACAGAGTAACGGAAGTAAATGAATTTGCGGATAAACTTCTACTTGATGGTCACCCAGAACGCGACACTATCCTTCGCAGGAAAGAGGAACTTAATGAATCTTGGCAGCGACTGAAACAACTTGCAATTCTTCGTCAGGAGAAATTATTTGGAGCTCATGAAATCCAAAGATTTAATCGAGATGCCGATGAAACAATGGCTTGGATTGCCGAGAAAGATGTTGTTCTCTCTTCCGATGACTTTGGTCGAGACCTTGCCAGTGTACAAACACTACAACGTAAACATGAGGGAATTGAACGTGACTTGGCAGCTTTGGAAGACAAAGTTGCTACTTTGAGCGCAGAAGCAGATCGCCTTGCCGGTATTCATCAAACCGATCATTCGCAACAAATTCAAACGAAGCGCGATGAGATTCTGCAATCATGGGAGAGTCTTACTGCTAAAGCAAAAGAACGCCGTCTCAAGCTTGATGAATCGTATTATCTTCATCGCTTTTTAGCCGATTACAGAGACTTAGTGTCATGGATGAATGATATGCGTGCCATCATTTCAGCGGATGAATTGGCTAAAGATGTTGCAGGTGCAGAAGCATTGCTTGAAAGACATCAGGAACACAAGGGAGAAATTGACGCACGAGCTGACAGTTTTGATGCTACGACTTTGGCAGGTAACCAACTTCTCGAAAGAAAACATTATGCTGCGGATGAAGTAGCTCTGAAGTTAGATTCCTTGGCTGAGGATAAATCATCTCTTTTAACACTGTGGGAGAAAAGGCGCATTCTGTATGAGCAATGCATGGATTTACAACTTTTCTACCGAGACACGGAGCAAGCAGATGCCTGGATGGCAAAACAGGAGGCATTTTTAGCTAACGAAGATTTGGGGGATTCTTTGGACAGCGTAGAAGCTTTAATTAAGAAACACGAAGACTTTGACAAATCTCTTGCTGCCCAAGAAGAGAAAATTAAAGCTTTGGACGAATTCGCCGGAAAACTAATCGAAGGAGAACACTATGCAGCTGACGATGTTGCCCAGCGACGTCAGTTATTATTGGAGAGAAGAGCTGTTCTTTTGGAGAAGTCGGCCCAGAGACGACAGCGATTAGAAGATGCATACAAATTGCAACAATTTGAACGAGATTGCGATGAAACTAAGGGTTGGGTTAATGAGAAACTAAAGTTTGCCACTGATGACAGTTACTTAGATCCCACCAATCTTAACGGTAAAGTGCAGAAACACCAGAATTTCGAGCAGGAACTCAATGCCAACAAGACACGTATGGAAGAAATGGTATCGACTGGGCAGAAACTTATTGAGAGCGATCACTATGCCAGTGATCGTATTCGAGCGCGCACGGATGAAATTGTTGCACTTTGGAACAGCCTGGATCATGCAACTGAGAAGAAGGGTACAAAATTGCAAGAAGCTTCGCAGCAACAACAGTTCAATCGGACAGTTGAGGACATCGAACTATGGCTGTCCGAAGTTGAAGGACAGCTAATGTCTGAAGATTATGGAAAAGATTTGACCAGTGTTCAAAATCTGCAAAAGAAGCATGCTCTTTTGGAAGCTGACGTGGGATCCCATGCTGACCGAATTGAGAGCATTGCCCAAGCTGCCGAACAATTTGTCAAATCTGAACACTTTGATGCTGAGAATATTAAGGCCAAACAGGAACAACTTCAAGGACGTTACTCGGCTCTTCAGCGACCGATGAGCATTCGGAAACAACGATTGTTGGATTCGTTACAGGTACAACAACTGTTTAGAGACATCGAAGACGAAGAAGCATGGATCAGGGAAAAGGAACCTGTCGCAGCTAGCACTAATCGTGGACGTGACCTTATTGGAGTCCAGAACTTACAGAAGAAGCATCAAGCAGTTTTGGCTGAAATCAACAATCACGAACCCAGAGTCGCTGCTGTATGTCAGGCAGGATCAAAAATGTTACAAGACGGCCATTTCGCAGCTGAAGAAATCAGCCAAAGATTGGCAGCTCTTGACGAGCATTGGGGTCAACTCAAGGAAAAGGCTCGTCAACGTAAGAACGATTTGGATGATTCCTTACAAGCTCATCAATACTTTGCAGATGCCAACGAAGCAGAATCCTGGATGAAGGAAAAGCGTCCCATTGTTATGAATGCAGATTATGGTAAAGATGAAGACAGCTCGGAAGCTCTGTTGAAAAAACACGAAGCTCTGGTTAGTGATCTTGAAGCATTTGCTAGTACAATTGCAGCCTTGAGAGAGCAAGCTGCAGCTTGCAGGCAACAGGAGACACCAACTGTGGATATTGCAGGTAAAGAATGCGTTGTTGCTCTTTATGACTATGCCGAGAAGTCACCTAGGGAGGTTTCCATGAAGAAGGGTGACACGCTGACTCTCTTGAATTCCAACAATAAAGACTGGTGGAAAGTAGAAGTAAACGATAGGCAAGGCTTCGTACCTGCAGCTTACGTCAAACGAGTCGAACCTGAAGCAGGGCTTACTACTTCGCAACAAAATCTGGCTAGAGAACAGAGTTCCATTGCCGCAAGACAAGCTCAAATCCAAGCCCAATATGATGATCTTTTATATCTGGCACGAGAACGTCAAAATAAGCTCAATGAAACTGCGAAGGCTTATGTGTTGGTGAGAGAAGCTGCAGAGTTGGCTACGTGGATCAAGGACAAGGAAAACCATGCTCAGGTTCAAGACGTTGGAGAGGACTTGGAGCAAGTGGAAGTAATGCAAAAGAAGTTTGACGACTTCCAGGCTGATCTCAAGGCCAATGAAGTGCGTCTTGCTGAAATGAATGAGATCGCAGTGCAGTTGATGAGTCTGGGACAGACCGAGGCAGCTGTGAAAATTCAAACCCAAATCCAGGATCTTAACGAGAAGTGGTCCAGTCTTCAAACTCTTACTGCCGAACGTGCAAGTCAGTTAGGTTCTGCCCATGAAGTACAACGGTTTCATAGAGACGTTGATGAAACTAAGGACTGGATCCGTGAGAAAGATGCAGCTCTTAATAATGATGATCTTGGCAAAGACTTGCGCAGCGTACAGGCTCTGCAACGTAAACACGAAGGTCTCGAAAGAGATCTTGCTGCCTTAGGAGATAAGATCAAGCAACTGGATGAAACAGCTAATCGGTTGATGCAGTCTCATCCTGACACTGCCGAACAAACTTATGCTAAGCAAAAGGAAATCAACGAAGAGTGGACTCAGCTGACCGCCAAGGCCAACAGCAGAAAGGAAAAATTACTCGATTCTTATGACCTGCAACGTTTCTTGAGTGACTACCGTGATCTGATGGCATGGATCAACTCGATGATGGGACTTGTGGCTTCCGAGGAACTTGCATCCGATGTGACAGGTGCCGAAGCGTTGCTCGAACGTCATCAGGTAAGTTGGATAAACATAGAACTGTAAGTGTAATCACTCAGGATTCATACACCGTATCGCAACAGTTTGTTCACAAACCCTTCAAATTATAGAGTCACAGAGCAGAGATAGACGCACGATATGGCGTTCTTCCAGAGGTACAAAAGTTTCGAGCATGAAACAGTTTTTTTTTTTTGCGCCCACAGGATATCACTAATCATACTGTGAAGTTTTTACGCAAAGGCCTTTAATACAAGATGTATGTAGATTATATCGTGAATGTACATTGAATAGTATGATAATTAACAGTGTTCGCATACAGTGGCCTCGTGTATTGTCTGCATTGTGTTGCTGCTTACGTTATAACAATATCTGCCAAGATGAATATAAAGTGAGACAGCTTACACAATTTTCGCTAAGAGGTTTTATCTATATGAATTCAGGAAATTATGACTGCTGAAGTACAAAAAAGGAGTAATTCAATAATTATGATTGTAGGAACACCGAATGGAGATCGATGCTCGAGCTGGCACCTTCCAGGCCTTCGAATTGTTTGGCCAGCAGCTCCTGCAGTCGAGTCATTATGCTAGCGTAGAAATTCAAGAGAAACTTGAATCAATGGCCGAGGCACGCCAGGAATTGGAAAAAGCATGGATACAACGTAGAATGCAGCTGGACCAAAATTTGGAGCTGCAATTGTTCTGCAGAGACTGTGAGCAAGCTGAAAATTGGATGAGTGCAAGAGAAGCGTTCCTGAGCAGCGCAGATGCTGTCGATAGCACCGACAACGTGGAGGCTCTTATTAAAAAACACGAGGACTTCGACAAAGCAATCAATGCTCATGAGGAAAAAATTGCAGCCTTGCAAACTCTCGCCGATCAGCTGATCGCTGCCGAGCACTACGCTGCAAAGCCCATCGACGAGAGACGATGTCAAGTGCTGGACCGATGGAGACATCTCAAGGATGCTCTCATCGAGAAGAGATCCAAGTTGGGCGAGTCGCAGACTCTGCAACAGTTCTCCAGGGATGCCGACGAGATGGAGAACTGGATCGCGGAGAAGTTGCAGCTGGCGACAGAAGAGAGTTACAAAGATCCGGCAAACATCCAATCGAAGCACCAGAAGCACCAAGCCTTCGAAGCGGAGCTCGCAGCGAACGCTGACAGAATTCAGTCCGTCCTTGCCATGGGAGGAAACTTGATAGAAAAGCATCAATGTGCCGGATCGGAAGATGCAGTTCAAGCTAGACTGGCATCCATCGCTGACCAGTGGGAGTACCTTACCCAGAAGACAACCGAGAAGTCTATGAAACTGAAGGAGGCCAACAAGCAGCGCACCTATATCGCAGCTGTGAAGGACCTGGACTTCTGGCTTGGTGAGGTGGAAAGTCTCTTGACCTCCGAGGATGCTGGCAAAGATTTAGCCTCCGTGCAGAACCTGATGAAGAAGCATCAGCTGGTGGAAGCTGACATTCAAGCGCACGAGGAGAGGATCAAAGACATGAACGCTCAGGCTGATTCGTTGATCGAAAGTGGACAGTTCGATGCTGCTGGTATACAGGAGAAGCGTCAGAGTATCAACGAACGATATGAAAGAATCAAAAACTTGGCAGCACATCGCCAGGCTAGACTGAACGAGGCAAACACCTTGCATCAGTTCTTCCGTGACATCGCCGACGAAGAGTCTTGGATCAAGGAAAAGAAGCTTCTCGTTGGGTCTGACGATTACGGCCGCGATCTGACCGGAGTGCAGAACCTGAAGAAGAAGCATAAGAGGTTGGAAGCTGAACTCGGCAGTCACGAGCCAGCTATACAGGCGGTCCAAGAAGCGGGTGAAAAACTGATGGACGTTTCGAACCTGGGAGTACCTGAAATCGAGCAACGCCTGAAGCTTCTAAACCAAGCTTGGGCCGAGTTGAAGCAATTGGCAGCTAACAGAGGGCAGAAACTCGAGGAGTCTTTGACCTACCAGCAGTTCCTCGCCAAGGTGGAAGAAGAGGAAGCCTGGATCACGGAAAAACAGCAGCTCCTTTCGGTTGAGGACTATGGCGACACCATGGCAGCTGTTCAGGGGTTGTTGAAAAAGCATGACGCCTTCGAGACCGATTTCGCGGCACATGGAGAACGCTGCAAGGACATTTGCAATGCTGGCGAAGCTCTCATTCAGGCTGGCAATCATCGCGCCGACTCGATCGGCCAACGATGCTCCCAGCTGCGCAACAAGCTTGAACAGCTGGGCGCACTTGCAGCTAGAAGGAAGACAAGACTGAACGACAATTCCGCTTATCTACAGTTCATGTGGAAGGCTGATGTTGTGGAGTCCTGGATCGCTGATAAGGAGACACATGTTCGTTCCGAGGAGTTTGGAAGGGATCTCTCTACTGTGCAGACTTTGCTCACCAAGCAGGAGACTTTTGATGCAGGACTTCATGCTTTTGAGCATGAGGGCATTCAGAATATCACCACCTTGAAGGAGATGCTCGTTGGCTCTGGTCATGATCAAACTGCCAGTATCCAGAAACGCCATGGTGATGTCATCGCTCGGTGGCAGAAGCTCCTTGCAGATTCGCACTCCAGGAAGCAACGCCTTCTACGTATGCAGGATCAGTTCAGACAGATCGAGGAGCTGTATCTTACCTTCGCCAAGAAGGCCTCGGCTTTTAATTCCTGGTTTGAGAATGCTGAAGAGGATTTGACAGATCCAGTACGGTGCAACAGCATCGAGGAGATCCGTGCTCTTCGTGAAGCCCATGCCCAATTCCAAGCTAGTTTGTCTTCTGCTGAGGCTGACTTCCAGGCCCTCGCTGCTCTTGACAGGCAGATTAAGAACTTCAACGTCGGGCCCAATCCTTACACTTGGTTCACTATGGAGGCACTCGAAGATACCTGGAGGAACCTGCAGAAGATCATCAAGGAACGCGACGTCGAACTTGCTAAGGAGGCGCAACGACAGGAAGAGAACGACAAGTTGAGGAAGGAGTTCGCTAAACATGCCAATGCATTCCATCAGTGGCTAGCGGAGACGAGGTTTGTGCTCTTTCTTTAAGTTTGGTCACGTTAGTTTTATTTGTATATATAGAACATTTTTTCGGAGGTGTCAAACGTTACAATGTGAATATAGAGACTAAGGAAAATCCTGACACGCGTAAAATTTCAATTTAAAAAATTTGTAAATAATTTGAAATTTTTTTCTTAAAAAATGAAATTGCATTGTTGTCAAAACCTTCCTTATAATCTCCAAATTTACGTTGTAAAGTTTGAAACCATTCGAAATGATTCGGTACCTTCAATTCGGAGAAAAGTTTCATGAACGATTGATCCCGCAGTTGCCACTTTCACATCCCCTTAATGTGTATAAAATATTCTATTAGAAAAGAAACAGTGTTTAAATGATATTTCTTAACTTGCAGAACGTCTATGATGGAGGGCTCTGGATCGCTCGAGCAGCAGTTGGAAGCCACAAAGGTAGTTTGCGTTTTTGGTTAGGTATATTATATGAAGTTCGTGAATATATACGCCATGTGTGGATTTTCTTTCGTAGCGAAAAACTCAAGAGGTACGAGCTCGCCGTCAAGACTTGAAGAAGATCGAAGATCTGGGTGCGATCCTCGAGGAGCACTTAATCTTGGACAATCGGTACACCGAACACAGTACAGTTGGCCTGGCTCAACAATGGGATCAGCTGGATCAGTTAGGCATGCGGATGCAACATAACTTGGAACAACAAATTCAAGCTCGCAACCAGTCGGGAGTGTCCGAAGATGCGCTCAAGGAGTTCTCGATGATGTTCAAACACTTCGACAAGGACAAGAGTGGCCGGCTCAATCACCAAGAATTCAAATCCTGCCTGAGAGCACTCGGTTACGACCTACCAATGGTGGAGGAAGGACAACCCGATCCAGAATTCGAAAACATTCTCGGTAACGTGACTTTCTTTGAGGAAAACGAAGCATTTAAAGCACTGCAATTTTTTTTTTGTATCATTTTTATCATTTTTGAATGTCCTGACGAAAAATGTCTTTCACAGATATCGTCGATCCGAACCGAGACGGATACGTGTCCTTGCAAGAGTACATGGCGTTTATGATAAGCAAAGAAACAGAAAATGTCCAGAGCTCCGAGGAGATAGAAAATGCTTTCAGAGCAATTACAGCTGCCGATCGACCTTACGTTACGAAGGATGAACTTTATGCGGTTAGTATAACCAAATTACTTTTTGCATTAACTTGTACTTTACGTATATTAAGTTTCAGTTTTTTTGTCTTTTATTACATTTGAACTTTTTTGCTTTTCAGAACCTCACCAAGGAAATGGCCGATTATTGTGTAGCTAGAATGAAGCCTTACGTCGACCCGAAAACCGAGCGAGCGATTACGGGAGCGCTGGACTATATCGAATTTACTCGCACTCTATTCCAAAATTAATCGTTTTAATAGATTCGCTTTACTGTATTAAAAAAGAACTATTGTAGTATCGCTTAATATATCTTGATTAATATATTTCATACATTATATATTGCCAATTTCACTTCCTCGATTATATAAAATCAGTCTGTGAGTCGACTTTGTAGTTCTGAATCTTTAGCATGCATTCGCGCACTCAAATCCTTCCACATCTTTCACGCACTCGTATAAAATGCACCACTCGTGCAGAGTATATATAAGTGATTTAAATAAATAATGTTTCCTGCAACAAACCTATTTATGACATTTTTAAAGATGCTACTGCTTCTTATAACTGTGTTGCAATAAAGACGTTAACAAAATGTTTTAGTGTTTCATTCCCAGAATGTAAAATTCCTGTATTACTTATTTCGATTTTCAATTGTTTTCAAATAGGATTTCAAAGCTCGAACGAAACACTTGTCTTTATATCTGTATAATTCTGTTTTATTATGAAGTATACACAAAATGAAATATAATAATTAAAATGATACATTTTATTTCGGTAGAAATCTGTCCAACACGCCGAAATTTTTTCTTTTGGTCTTCTTTTGTTCAACCAATTCATTAGATTTAACTTCCTGTGCAAGTTCAATGGCTTCCTGGAAATTATCGATAATAATAATTGTTTGATAAAAACGAAAATAAAATGAAATATGGGACTTACCTTTCGTCGCTGCTCTTTTAAGATCTTTTTAGTTTTAACCACTTTTGCGGTTCCACCTTTGCCTTTAGATTTTGTTTTCCGTGGTTTGAAGTCAATCGTTTTCGGTTTAATATACTGTGGAAAAGAAAAATATGTTAAAAAATACAGACTTTGGTCTTCATTAAGTAAAGTACATAAGAAAAGTCGTAATTCTTACCAAAAGTTTCTTCTTTGCCTCTACTTTGTCTTTTAATGTTGGAACATCAACTTCGGCTAAAGCGGCTGGATCAAGAGTAATCAATTCCGGTTGAATCTTGTCTAAAAGTGCTTTTACTTCAGCTTCACGTCTCTGCTGTTTACTTTGGAATGGATTTGCTTCAAGTGCATCGTAATTCGCTTCTGCACAACCAGGAACCAATAAAGAAACAAAACCTTTTTCGGTAGTAACGCCTAAAACGTCTTCATATGGGCAAAATTGCATTCCTGTGACTTTCCAAGATTCTCTGTGACGTAAATACGGCTTGATAGAATTATCATAATCTCTAAAAAATAAAAGCAGTATTAGATTCCGTACAACAGTTTAAGTTTCCATAAAAATCAATTATTATTTACCTGTAGGTTTCAACAACATTGCCAGTTGCGATGGCCAGTAATCCACGCTGGCTATACGATAAGTGATGGGCTGGTGAACGTAGAATGACAGTACGCACTGGCCCCGATAATTGTCGTACATCCCAGACTTTTACGGAACGATCAGGACAGGAAGTGGCCATGTAAGTTCCATGTGGATGAACTGCACAGGCACTAATTGCTTGTTTATGACATAGCATCTTCGCTAGCGGTTCTTGAGACATTGGTGACCACATGGAAACGACACCTTTCGAATTCCCAACGCACAGAACTGCGTTACTTGGATTTTGTGTCATTACCTTAAGAAAAGAGGATTATTTAAAATATACAACTTCTTATTTTAAGAATATAAACAATTTTATACTTATAATGGTAAAACGTACTGATAATCTTCCCATCTTTGAATTATATCGAGCAACGAGTTCTCCAATGGATACATCCAACCATGCGAGGTATCCTTCTCTAGAAACACTAGCCAACAAAAAGTGATAAGGTAAGAAATCCAACTTTGTCACTCCATTCATTCTCTTTAAACAATGAATCTCAATTCCTTGACTGTCGTAAATATATACCCAATCCTTCTGAGCAACAGCAAACATTGTCTCTATGTGTAACCACGTAACATCGTGTACGGACTCCATTACATTCATTTCACACATTAATTTTTTTGTGACCCAGTCAAACGCAGCAACATGTCCTCGTTCTCCACCCAAAACTAAATACCTTCCGTTTCTAGTATACCTCATATAATAGGGACCAAACTGTAAGTTCAATCTAAAATGCTTTTTAGCGCTTGTAATATCAACACTAGAAGCAATTTCGCTTTGTTTGAATTGGGTCGTTGTCTCACCAGCATCAGCATCTAGGAAACCATAGTTTTCTGTAAGCAATACTTCCGTACGTGCAGCTTGTTCCACTGTCTGTTCTATTACTCGTTCTTTTACTCTCAGTCTTTGTCTATGGACTCTAGTTTGAACACTACTGGTCTTAGCCTTTAAATTAATTCCTTCTCCTCTATCATGCTTTGCTAATTTCTCTTTGTCAATTGGGGCTTTGCCTGGATATTTAATTTTACCTCCTGCAAAATGTAGAGGTTAGGAATAATATCTAGATCAGAAAAAAAATAATTTCTTATAATATTTTTTACAGAACTGGAAAGAACGTATACCTGGTTTTACCATTGTGCTGTATTGATAACAAAGAATTATATAAATTGTTAAAACAAATACACGTGTTTACAAGCATTCCGCAATCATTGACAGAGATGAGATGGCAGATTGCTCACGGGCAGGGTCGCGCGATCGCA